GAGCCGCCCGGGGCGTCGGAGCGCGCTCGGGGCGCCTGGTGTCCTCTGGTCCTTGGCTGTGCGCGCTGCTCCGTTGACCTTTGGTGTATACAGACCTGTTTTCGTTTTATTGTGTCCAAGTTCATTTCAACAACAAGAGAGCGGAACAAGAAATCTCTGTTTTTATCATCTGTACAATAAGGATGATTATGGGGTTATGATCAAGATTAAAGTGAAATCTTTATGATTGTGAAATGCATTAATTTTACCAATGGGAAAATGCCTCACGCAAATAAAATTGTTTTTGATCTGTTTCTGCTGGCAAATTTCTTCAGGAGGAAGAGGATTGTGTTTTGTTCTATTTTGCCTGCCTTAACTCCTGGCGGTAAAAGGCACTCAAGTAATGGTTGATGTTTTTTATCTAGTAGTTCAGAAGTAGCAATGTTACCGTTTTGCAAATAGGTACCTTGAAGCATAGACAAGGGTGGATTGTTACACCTTTAGCCAACATGGGGAACACACAGATCAGGTTTGCTAAGGAAAAGTAGAGTTTTTAGACAGGCTTAGGTTGAAGGGCCTGGGACGACCAAAATGGATCTATGTTTATTAGAGATATTTGAACTTTGTTGAGTGGAAGTGTTTATGAGTAGGGGAAATAGATGTTGAATGAAAGGGGACATGGGAAGGGGAAATTGAGGTTGATTTAAGATCCATCACACAGACGGACTGAGTCATGGTTGGTTTCTAAGAGGTTAACAGGTTTTGAGAGTTGGAAGCAGGTGTAGTTTGAACAAACATAATATTATAATTTCTATTTGGGGAAAAATAACCTATTTTCAATATAAAAAGGTTGAGAAACACTAACATAGAATGTAATGAAAGCTATGAAAGGAAATGAAATTGCTGAGGACAGCATGTGAAATAAGAATTAGTGATGGGCAGTGAGTGGATAATGAATAGTGAGAGATGGAGAAAATGCCACAGAATTGGGACGAGAACTAGGCATGAAACTTATTGTGAAGAGTCACAGAATTGCAAACATTGGAATCATAAGCTTCACTAACTACATGGCTTTGAGTAATTTTGAGCCTCAATTTTAATTTGTGAAAAGGGGGTAATAAGTACTTCTCAGAGCTGTTGTGAGGATTAAATGAACATTTTTGAATGCTTAATTAGTACAGTGCTTGGCACAGAGTAAGAGCTTGGTAATTGCTATCATTCTGGGGAACTCTGCACTACTGCCTCTATCCTTAAGTGAGTTTTTAAAAAGTCTAAGATTTGGAAAATAGATCTTTGTTTTTGGTGTTTAAGATATCATTGGTTTCCTTAAGGAGAATTTGAGTAGATGGCGAAGATAAGTGTACTAGATTAAAAATGATGGTCTTGAAGTTGAGACTGGTTGAATGTGCTTTTTAAAAAAATTTGTCATTGTAGGAAAGTTTAGTGATGGGAAGGAAAGATTGAATTATTATACGGTTTAGAGGATATGGGAAAGATTTACCCATGCTTCTATTGAAGAAAATACAAAATGGAAGTTCATTTTATGTTTTAATAAAAGAGTTACATTTTTATTTGCTATAATGAAGGACAGTAACATAGTCATACCCTTTGCTATTAGACTCACCCTTGACTGCGCTTGTAGATGATAATTCCAAGCTATGAATAAGCAGAAAGTCTGCTTTACTAGATAGGAATTTTTTAATCAATCAAGCTTCTTAAAAGTATTATTGGAGCCTAAATCTTTTAGTCAGGAAGAAGGACTTTGTCATATATCAGTGGCCAATAAGAATAGAAGTCTCCTTACCTATTGTCAATAATCAAGTCTACTGGTAAGAGAATGAGGTTTGTCTTAAAATAGATGTTGAAAATGTGCTTGAAAAGAGTCCTTCAGATGAAGGGTATACATTCAAGAAGAAATGAATGGGGGCAGGGTTATTTGTGATAAGAAGCTTGGTTAAAGAGTTATATTAAGCAAATTGGAGAACACTGAACAAAATTATGGTCTAATTAAATGAACATTTGGTTATGAGTCAAGAGAAGTTAGTTCATTCAGTGCTGGCCCTATCCCTAACTAGTTTTATGACCTTTGGCAAATATTAGCCTTACTATGCTAAAATCTCCTTGTCTATAAATTAATATAATATTGCTCAGTCTACTCTGCAACATTTTGTGATCATCAGATGAGAACTAATCTGTTTTCAGGTAGGCTAATACATACCCAAATATAATTTTTTAAAAAAATTCTAAAGTGTAGACAAATGAATTCTGTAATTCTACTCCACCTTGCTTAGCAATTATTCTTTCCTATCTGTAAGAAACCTAGTTTAGATTCAACCTTTATCTCCTGCTTTATTTAGGGCCTTCAATAATAATTATTTCTGTTTTAATCATTTGCCAACTATGGATAAACTCTGAAATGTGTTCTTGTTCCTATTTTATTATTTAATTTTCATATTTTATAGTCTCACTATCTTGGTGAATTGGAGGGCCTCAGGTTTTTCCGAGGTTAATTTCTTTTTTTTTTTTGAGTTAGAGTCTCTGTTGCCCAGGCTGGAGGGCAGTGGCCACCGCAGCCTCGACCTACTGGGTGCCAGCGATCCTTCTGCCTCAGCCTTCGGAGTAGCTGGAACTATAGTCGCGCGCTATCATGCCCGGCTAATTTTTTGATTTATTGTAGAGATGAGGTCTCGCCAAGTTGCCCAGGCGGGTCTCGAACCCACGGGCTCCGGCAATCTACTCACCCCAGCCTCCCAAAGGCGCAGGATTACAGGTTGAGCCACTGAGCCCGGCTCCGAGGTTAATTTCTTAGTTTTGCTGGCTAGACATATGAAAAGATAGTGGCAGGGACACTGAAGTCCATGTCCTGGGTAAGATGGACTGGAAAACCAGAGTAAATTCAGCATTATCAAGTCCTTGAACACATCCTAAGTGCAG